CATCACAATTGAACACAGGTTGAATCATAGAAACAACTCCGACAGCTAACATCGAGCATAACACCAGTGGGCAATAGTGAGGAGCATTTGGGCATGTGCGCATCAACGAATCCCACACATCTCGCCATGCTCCAACAGTGTCGCCCTGTACCCCGTCATTGTGATACGTACAAGGGTTCCGATCCAGCAAATTAAGAATATCCTCTGAGTTCTGCGCTTCACTATCGATGGGTCTGTCCAGCTCGATCGTCGCGTGGGCTATGTGAACCAATGCGCCTGATATCTGGAAGCGCCGAGCATCATGAAGACACGAGCCAATGATCAGATCACCATGCCCATGGCCCCCAGGTTGGTCCTGAATCTGCTGAGCTGCTGCGGTGCTGAGAAGCTTCCACTTCCCCAAAGCAACGCCGAAGAAACGCCTCGTGCCGTCGTCGAACCGACTTGGTGGTGACGCGCGGCGGTACGGCTTGGACCACAAACCTCCAGACTCGCCGAAGATAAAGAACACTGTGGAATTGCCTTCCAGGACCAGCCGCCCACGATGCATCGGACGCAGCGCAGGCACGCACATGTGCTCAGCGCCATCGTCGCCGCCGTCACCACACACCTCGTCATCCATCCCCGCCGGCCAAGGAATCGCCGAACAGCACGGGGTGGGGAGTGAAACGTGAAACTGAGAGTTAAACAAGTTTGAACCAAAATAGGGCAACGGATGTTGTTTCACTGGGATGTTTAAGTGCCACGCTGGAACATCACGAATTGTTGTGAGCACCTGTCCACGATGAAGTCGGACTAATGTGAGCACGCATTGCTGTGAGCACGGATTGCTGTGAGCACGGATGGCTGTGCCACCAATCACGGATGGATGTTATCACGGCTTGTCGTGAGCACGGGTTGTTGTGAGCAGATTCCCATCGGGGCACCAAACGCGGAGTGTTGTGAGCACGGAATGCGAATTAAGTGCAACGTTGGGCAAATTGTCCACAGTGCAGATTTGTAATGGGCGCATTCGCTCGAGACATCCGCACAATGCTTTCCAGACGTGCAACGTTTTCGCTTGAGACATCCGAACAATGCGTTGAAGTTGTGCAGTGCGTCTTCGCTGGAGACACTGTGCACCAGTTGTACAGCGCAAGCTTGTTTTGCAAACCTCAACTATATACGCGACTGTCAACGCGCAACATATCGAACGACCAAGCGCAACGATCAAACATACGTAATACTACCAAGCACCTGCGCTGATCTTGGGATTTTTAGAGTTTAAGTTTTTATTCTCCGTTTTAAGGTAGAAAGCGCTACCTTACCGATAATACCATTGGGGGAGAATATACCTTAACTCTACAAGCGAGTCTAGCCAGACTGGCCCCGCGCCGCCAGCGCGGGCGCGGCTGCGGGTGGCGCAGCGCAGCCCGACCCCCGCGAGGCGAACGCGCCCCGATCGCACCACCTTTGAAATGCGTCGCTGGACGGTCGGTCGGGACACGTCGGCGCCTGGCCCATCCAAGATCCTGAAAACGAATGTGGGCAGACCCTGCCGGGCCAGTGCGCGGCCGATCCCCGCCGCGCCAGCGAACGCCTTGACGGCAGGCGGCCCCGCATGCGCGGCGGGAGTGGAGCGGCGGATGGAGACCCGCGGAACCGCGCCTACCGCGCGAAGGCGAGGAGGTGCAGAGGCGTGGTTCGCATTACCTTCTGCGCCCGCCCGCTCTTCATATAGCGGCGCAAGCTGGCGCAGGCCCCCCGCCCCCGCCGCTTCCTAGATTCCTCGGGCGCCGCAGAAGTAGGATGTCCAGCGCGGCTCCCCCGCGGCGCGCCTGGTGGCCAGCTTGAAGGACCTCGGCCCCGCGTCGACGCAAGCCTGGTCGAAGTGCTGCTTGAACTGGCGCATGCCCGCGGGGGACAGCAGCTCGTCCCTCCTCGACGGCCCGTGATCATCTGGGCGAGGCCCGCCGTGTCTAGGTCGAAAATGCCAGGGATCATCGCGCCGCCCCGCGCGCCCGTCTCGCAGGTCAGGCCCCGCTCCTGCAGGAACAGGACGACGCCCCAGCGGCGGTTCGCCCCCTCGGCGGCCACCGGCTTCAACGCGCCCCCGATCCGCGCCGGCATCAGCGCGCCTGGGCGGATGCGCGCGTCTGACGAGGTCACCAGCGCCACTGCCGCCTTCGCGTGGCCCCGCCAGCGCATCGCCCCAGCGAGGGCCGCGCACCGCTCCGAAGGCAGCGGGGTCCGACTCGCCGGCGGGGCCTCCTTGCGAACGCCTTTCAAGGCCTGGCGGAGGCGCGGGAGGCAGGCGCGGCCCGTGCTGGCCACATCCACTCGCGCAAACAGCACCGCCCCGAGCAACGTGTTCCCGACGTCGCAGCGGCCCCCCTCCTTGGTGCCTGAACTCGAAGAACTCCGCCGCCGCGTCGACGTCGCCGTGGGTCGTCGTGTCCAGGCACTCCTGCTCGGCAAACGCCATCAGTGAGTCGAAGATCGCCTTGCGGTGCTTCTGCGTGGCCTTCCCGACCGGGCGCCTCTCCGGCAGGCTCGGGCCCCTGTCGCGAGCGGGAGACATGCCGGTTCGGCGGCCGTCGCCGCCCGCCTGGCCCACGCATCCGATCGGCGCACCTGGCGTCGCTCCTCGCGACGGAGGCCGGGCGCCGCCCGCTGCGTCGAGGGCGCCAGCGGGGGGCCGACCGAGGGCTGCCCTGGCCCCGGCCTCGCCGCCACCGGCGGCGGCGTCCTCGCCAGGGTGGAGGACTGCGGACGCGTCAGCCCGCTGGCCACGCGAGCTGGGCCCACCTAGCGCCTCGCCGCGGCGCGCGAAAGGGTCGCGGCCGTCGGCCTCGCCCACGTCGCCGTCGCGCCCGTCGCTGGCGGGGGCGCCAGGCGGGCGCTCCTGCGACTCGGCCTCGAGCTCCCCCGCGCTGGAACTGGGCCCATCGAGCTGTCCGGCGAGGGCCCGCTTGCGAGCGGCCCGGACGCGGAGCGCTTCGAGCCGAGCCTCGTCGGCCACGTCGGAGGCGGTCATGCGTCGTCGCGAAGGCTCGTCGGCATGATTGAACTCAGAGGGCATCCGTCGCCACCACGCTCGCACCCCTGGCGCCAGACGCGCCACCGCGTGCCAGCGGCAAATCCGGAACAAGGAAATGCCCGTAGCCCTACCCCTGGAGAACGCCAAGACCGCAACCATACTGTCAGAAACCAAAGAGACGCCTACCGTGAGCTTCGCCAACTCTGACTCTCCTGCGCACAGCTGCCAGACGCCTCCTAGCTCCTAGCTCCAGGAAGTGAACCGCCTCCCTACGGCTCCAAGGAGCGGCCGCGACGGGCTTCCACTGCTCGTGGGAGCGCACCTGCTGCGAGACATTGGGAACAGCCGTCTGAGCGCCCCAGATCTACGCGGCGGGCTTCCCACACGGCTTCACCGTCGCGAGGTCGCTGCAAGGTCGGCGGCGCGTGAGGCGTCGGCCCTGGGGCCTTCTCCTCTCTCGTGCTCCAGACGGAACCTCCACCGCTCGCAGAGCGCCCGCTCGAACTCCAGCTCGTCGCCGGTGGGGGGGCTTCGCAAATCCCGTGGCCGGAGGGGCTCGCGTCGGCCACGAAACAGAGGGGGCCCCAAAAAGCTCGGAACGCGGACGAACAGCGTAGCAACGGACGCCCTTGCGGAAAATATGGGACTTACGAACGAAACCACAACGAGAACTCAGGACGGAAAAGGAGCTCACGTCGAGCCAACAGCTAGAAGGTGGCGCGCCCGAGGAGACGCCCCAACTGCCATCCAGACGCGACGGGGCGACGGGGCAAAGCCTCTCAGGGGCTCCGCTGAAGTGTCCGCGATCTCCGTCGACGAGGAAACCCAGACTCTGGGCCCGCAAGGGCGCCTCCTCCTCCCCCTCATGCACATCGAAACCTAAATCGCTACAGTGCTCGGCAACTCGCTGCCTGGCGCGATTGGCTCGCTCGGGGCGGGTCGCCGCGCTGGGGAAGGGCGAAGACGGAGGACCCGCGAAGGGGAGGAGCGGGAGCACGAAAAAACACGGTTCAACCCCGTGGCAGGCTCAACGCGCGATCGACCTCCGTCGAGTGGGCGATCTGGGCAAAAGGAGAAGATGCAGCTCCATCCCATGGGCTTGACCCTGAGAGCCGGATACCATAGCCCCGCAAGAGCCTCGGAATCCAGAGAAACGGGCGGCGGCAGCAAGATATTTCAAAAACGAAGCCGCTGGGCACGGCATCGAGGCAGAAATCTGTACTAAGCTCTAGGGGGATCCCGCAACAGTAGAAGTAGTTTGTGATGTCGGAAAATAAAAAACAGGCCTGCCCCCCCCTCGCCCAGGGCCACGCCAGCCCAGGCGGCTCCAGTGCCCATGGGGAGATGAGGAGCAGGGCAGAAATTACGATTCGCGCCACGGCCGTCGATCACCAGACGCTGACGACCGTGTTTCTTACGCACAGCGAAGGCTCCCACCATGCAGGCAGGTCCCGAAACGTAGGCCAACAGCCCACCCTCGTGCATTTTTTACATTCGACCCCCGGAGCTTGGGGCCATAGAAAAGCCTCGAGGGCGCCTGCGTCTCACGCGCACACCCCCTACTCCTCTTCATTCAGGAAGATGTGCCGCTCAAAGCTACAAGAAATTGACGGGCTTCATTCGGCAACCGATCCGCGATATCAACACGCTTTGCTCCCGCAAGGGTAAACTCCTTGGCAGCACACTCGATCGAACTCAAAACTTCCGACTGGGCCGAGGAGACTGGGCGCGAGCAGCATTCAAGATGGCCAGCAAAAGAACTGAACGCATCCACCATCTCATTCACTCGAAACATCGGTCTCTCTCCGCCAGACATTGCCTCGCCCCGCGCGAAAGCCCTTTCTGGCGGCGCCACCAACACTCCGGCACGAGAAAGACGGGTGACACATCGCGCTGGACCAAACACGCCCAGCTTCAAACAGGGCACGCGGCGCCGGCTTCCCGGCGGGAGCGGAGCCCAGCCCCACCTCAGCAAGAATAGTCACGTCCCCGCCCTGGCGCCAGCGGCGCCCGGGTTCGCCTCCACCCTGTCCCTTGCCGTCGCCCCTCGGCTTCTTCTGACCTCGGAACAGCCGCATCTCCCCTGCGTGCTTACGCTGCTCCCTGAGGATCGGAGACCTCTCTGAGGCCCCGGCGGCGACGTGCACGCCGTCACGCACACTTCGGCCAGGTTCACCTCTGGGGCAAAGTCCACCGTGGGATGGTTCACGAAGGATTGCAAAAAAACGAAGGATTGCAAAAAAACCTGGATTGCAAAAAAAACCCTTCGTCGAAGGATTGCAAAAAGGATTGCAAAAAGGATTGCAAAAAAGGGTTTTTTTGCAATCCTTCGTTCAAGGGTTTTTTTCCAATCCTTCGTTGGAAACCACCTCGAGCAGCTCGAGCGACAAGAGCACCGGTGGCCGAGGTCCCTCGCCCACCTGCTTGGGGTGCACGTCTCCAGCGCGGGTGGCCACCCACCAGACTGAGAGTCCAGGCTCCGTCGCCTGCTCCCCGATATGCTGCTGGATCATCTGCGCGGTCTTGTTTCTTATCAGCAAGCGGACGTGCCATTCGCCATCTTGGCAATGGAATGTGACCTTCTGTCCAACATGGAAACATAGCGCCACACACCCAAGAGACAACCGCGAACAACAAAGAGTCAGACATACACCAAGGAGCAATCCAACTAAGGTGCCAGCGACGAAGATGCCCCAGTTGAAGCGGCTGGAGCCAATCGACAGCTCCTCGAGCGCAGAAGGAGGTCACAAAATTGGCAGCGTTGGATACAGCGTCGGACGCGAGGGCAGCGAAACCTGCCATGACAACCCCGAGCGCCAGATGGTACATGCACGGGTGTGCGCGGGTGTCTGGCCCCTGTAGCCAGAAAAAACGTGGGCCCCAAGTCGGCGGACGTCCAGACACCAGGGAGGCTCAAGCGGCGGATCATTCGCTCTGTCACACCTGGATAAGTCCATAAATATACATTCATATACGCAAGCACACATGCATGCTTACATAACTACATCAGTCCATCCATACATACACACATACCTACACGTAGGTATGTATGTATCTTTTTTCTTGTTCTTTTCTTTTTTTTTTCTCTCTCTCTCTCTCTCTCTCTCTATATATATATGTGTGTGTATGCACATACATATGGTCGTATGTGCCCCCCTTGGGACCCACATGTGTAGACCTCGCAAATACGGGTGAGAACAAAAGGGACGGGTGCGGCTTGGGTCACGGGTGGGTAGAGGGGTGGGTCGCGGCGTCGGTCGCGGTGCCAGTCGCGGGTGCGTCGCGGGGGGCGGGGGCGCGGGGGGGACGACGACAAACAACAAACAAAAACAACAAATAAACATAATCCAGGCCACGGAAGCCCACTTCACCCGCGCACCCAGTGGTTATTCAGATCCACCGCATGCTGGGGTCGCCGCAGGTCGATCACCCAAGCGGTGGCTATGCATCAATCCCGCCCCAAACTCAACTTTTGTGGCAACTCATGGGAACTTCCCATATCATCTTGCTGGCTTTTGCGAATGGACGCTAATGACGCACATCGACGCTGATCGAAACTACATCGACGCGAATCGCTTATCGAGACTAAATCAGCGATTGCTCACCGATTGCATGACGATTGCGCATGCGAGTGCACTCCTACATTTGAATTCCAACAACACGCACAAGGCTCTCGTGAGTTGCGACCGCACCAATTCATAGGGGCCTACCAGATCAGGACCGAGCAAATGTGGTAGGAGGATCACGCCGCACCGCCGATACATCGACCGTGCATCGACGATGCATCGGCGACGTCGGAAATGCATCGGCGACGCGGGCGTGGAGAAAACCGGGCTCCTCATCGGCGATGCGGGGCAATCCTCCAACGAGGCCATCCCGAAGCTGCCCGAAACCATTCCGAAACTATCCGAGACCACCTTGGAGAAAACGGGAGGCACCGGTACCGGTACACCGAGGAGCTCTCCCAGGGCGCGTTCTATCCACTATTTCGGGGCGAATCAAGCGGTGGCGACGAGGGCCTCCCAGGAGGGTTACAAATGAGGAAATCGAAAGAAAGGTAGCGGCATGGGCACCCGTTTCTCCTCTGACATCTGGACTCGGTGCAAGACCCCGAGGCAATCCCGAAGCTATTCCGAAGCCACTCCGAGTCATCCGAAGCCATTCCGGGAGGCCATCCCGAGGCTGCCCGAACTATTCCGAGGCTATCCGAGGCCATCTGGACACCGAAGATCACGGCAAATCCCTGCAAACTCCCCCCGCGCTTTCTCAGAAGTCTCCCCCCCCTCGTGGCTGAGGGACGCATCAGATTGCCACAATTCCGTGCAGAATCCCCCCGGCCCCGAGGGCCGTCCGCCGCGGCCCCGAGGGCCGTCCTCGCGGCCCGAGGGCCGTCCGCGCGGCCCGATTGCGTTGGCCCCGAGGGCCGTCCGCCGCGGCCGCGCTGCGCGCGGCGCCGCAGGGCCCCAACCACGCCGCCCTCC